GTAGGAAGCAGACTCTGTTTGAAGCTTGTGGATAGCTCTGCTGGTTCATTTCCCCCCTCCTGTGTGATACCAGTTTATTTGCGGCCTTCCTGCAAAACAGTCAGAATGCCTAAATACATTCATTTCTAGGAAATGTACCTTATCAAATTTAGTATAAATCTTTAATTGTTGCTCTGTAAGCAGAATGGGTCCAATTAATAAAATTCTAGTTAGCAACATTATGCCATTGAAATAACTTTATATAAAAAAAGCACAGATTTGATTTGAGAGTATTTATTTAGCCCCTAAAATACTTTTGAAAAATTGATGTGTTTTTTTAAATTGCAGAAGTAAATAGTGTGCATTGTTGTGAATTTTATCAAAAATTTTATCAAAAATTTTATCAATATATTTTAATATATTGTTTTATTGATTGTCCCTTGTTTTTATTTAATGTAGCATATCTTTTATATTTAAAATGGAAGTGCAGTGTGGAGGCAAATTTGTCTACTGTTTGTTAGAAAGTACATTCCTATTGCATGAATAAAGAAATTGGCTCTGCATGTTGAGCATCTACATTAGAAGCATCATAATATCATCATAAGCTAGAGGCTCCTGCCCCCCAAAGAATTACATATAATTTGAAAGAAGATTTTGTGTTTCTTTCATCTTGGACAGACAGAATTTGCAGGGTTGCAGGATTTCAAAAGTATTAAACCTATGGAACAAATGTTAGGCTCAAAGGTGCTACAAGATCTCTCGACATATGGAACAAACAGTGAGGGTAGGACAAAAATTGTGGTTTTTATGCTGGGACTGGGCAACTGTGCTAATTTTTGCCCCCCTGCAGGTTGCACTAATGCATTTGGGTTTACCCAAAAGTGACCAGAACTCACTACCAGTTTTGATTTTGATTTGTTTTTAATCTGATTTTGGCTTGTTCTTTTCAGGGGGGTGCTGAGCGTCATGGGGGACAATTAAGCCAGACTGCTGTGTTGGTGTCTTTTGGTTGCAGTTTGCGTGATTGAGGAGATGGGGATGGGGGTATTTCATTGGGAAATGCAGAGCAGCCCAGAGGTTTAGATGTCCTGATGGGGTCTTGGAGTCACAAAAGAGGGGCTGGATCTACATGCAGCCTCTAGGTTGGACTTTGTGTGCCCTCCCCCATTTTACACTCTACAGTCAACCTGATTGTAGAACCTTGAGTCATGGCAAATTTGTCCCATCAATTTCAGTAGTATTAAAGGGTGACTTAGAGGTAGTCTGCACTGGCCAAATAAAGCAGCTTATAACTGATTTGAAGCCTGGCTGTTTAGATGATGCACGAGGCAAAAGTGAGTGGGAAGCAAAGAGAAGCTGTGCTCCAGGACTAAAAAACAAAACAAAAAGAAGCTGGGATATTCTGGTTCAAGGTGGAAAATGTTCATCATTCCATGGGCATATAAACAGCCTGTCACCTGTACAGGACTGAGGCAAAGCAAAAATGTGATCGCCAATAATGCAATGGGTGGGCATGGGGGGCATGGGGTGAAGGGGGCATATATGAGGGCCCTCCATGATTGTGCTTTTCCATTGTTATCACTGGATGCACCAGGACACTATACAGGTGGTGCATCACACATGCAATTGTGTGGCCGATCATATGGGCAGCTGTCCAATGGAATGGCTTCTGGGTGGGAAGATGGAGGTTATTGGGTCACAGGCAGTGTGTTAGTGTGATGGTGTACATGGTGGGGAGGCAACTAAATCAAAAACAAAACCCAGGCAACGCGGTGTAACCCTGTGTGGTGAGAACAGCCCATAGGTGTTCTGCCTGCCTTGGGAGCAGGCAGTGTCGACAGTGGGGTTTTGACCCACTATAAGAAAACCCAGGATGAAGCTGTTTTTTCCTGCCTGTTTGCTCCAGCCCTTAGAATGGATCAGTCCTTGAAAAAATTACTTTTATGAACTACAGCTCCAAGAATACTCTAGCTAGTAATGGCTATTTGAGTCCCAGGAATTGTGATCTGAAAAAGTAATTTTTCCAAACTAAATCATTCATCCTTAGCCTCACCTTCTTCTCTTTTAAATCATTTTAATCTCTCTTGAAAACCCTTTGTTGTGCAGAGATCCATGAAATTGTCTCCACTTGTAAAGTTTTGAGTTTCAGATGAAGCTCATCATCTTCCTCCACAAGGAGCCACTTCCACAGTGGAAGATGCAGTGTGGATGGATCTGTCCACTGTGTCACTAGCACCTCTTTCCTGGGGATTCTCAGTCACTTCAAAAACCACTGGTGCACATGGATATCACTTTACACTTACTTATATTGACTGTCATTTATCTTTTTTTGTCATTCACCTAGTTGATAATAAATTTAATTTTTGTATGGAATTTTATCAGAATGTTTTTTAAAGTCCTAATATAATGTCTACCAGTTCATTGTTTCTTGTTGACAATTGCCCATGATTTCTAAAAGACTGGTAAGGCAGTATTTCCTTCTGCAAAAACCATGCTAATTTTTTCTCTGCTAGTGTATATACTATTATATACTGATTTTTCTTGTTCTTTTGCTTGAAGAGCACCATGTGCGGTGATGGTGTGAGATGTGTATGTGTGTGTATCCATCATTATATATCTTTCACCATCACTATTAAATTATATATTTATTCACACACACATAGGGAGTTTTAGCTCTAACTATGCTTTCTTACCATTTACTAGGGATGGGTTAATGCCATCTCATTTTCTGGCTTAGATCATCCAGTGTTAAAAAAAACTTTTTTAGAAACACACACATGGGTACCCAACTTGTTTTTTGGCACTGTGTGGGCTGTCAACCCTAACTACTTGTACTCAGGTTCGATATCCCCCCCAAAAAATCCAGCAAAGTATTAGGAATGTCGAAGGAATTCTACAGGGTGTTATATAATTGATGCAAGTATCCCCAGAGCAGAGAAAGAAGAAATTCTGAAATTGAAGAAAGTAAGGTTCCCAACTCACAAGGTGGAGATATTGTCTTTAATTGGCATATAAGCTATGGAATATCTGAATAAAGGGCACAGTAAAGTCACTGGATTTTGTGACGGTGGGTGTGCAAACTAAGTCTGCCTTAGGGATTAAGGTTTGTGTAGAATTAAGACTAATTGCAATGTATAAAGGAGGTTGTGTGTGATCCAACTGAGAACTTACAACGTTTATTTAGGTATTTAAGACTGATTGCACACATCACAGTTGTTTTAAACCCTTCAGTAATCCCAGTTATTACTCCAGTCAGGAAAATTCATTTGTACAGAAAGGGCTTTTTCAGGAACTGACATGTACGGTATAGTTATAAGTTATCAGGAAAGTCAACCATCTACTAGATCAATTATCACTAGGGTAGAACTAAGGCCATGTTCACACAAACAAATTTTTAATAGAAAGTCCAATAATTTAAAGGTAAGACATATTCTTAAAAGTTTTTAAGTATTTCTGGTTATCAAAGTCCCAACAAAGCAAATGCTGTGCATTAGCATGGAAATTAAATCATACTACAACAATAGAAAAGCTTTACAAATGAAGTAAAACATACTTTCTTTGCTCAATATTTTCTGCAATAATCAATAGCTGATCAAATGAACCAAGGAAGATGTCTTACACTGAGTCCAGCCGTCGAATCATTTAGCCCAATGGTTTTGAATCTGACTGATAGTGCTTCTTAAATTCATTTTTGAAGATGCTAGGGACTGAACCTGGGGCTGTACCACAAAATTATTGACCACCACTTTTTAGCAGTAATTAAGTTACTAGTATTTGCTGGCAGTGTATGCCATGTGACTGGTAATACTGAGATGAGTTTCCTTCAGTTCTGTAGGCCAAGTATGTGAAACATGTGGCTCCTAAAAGTTGTTGGATTACAAGCTCCAACAAACCTAAACAGAACAACCAATGGTGAGAAATAGTGGGAATTGTAGAACAACAACAACTTGAGAGCTGCATAATTCCTACCTCTATTTCAGGCTTTGAAAAATTGGGAGGACATTTGTCTCACACAAAACAGACATATGAGAGACACTAAGGACGTTATCACATGGGGGCAAATCTGCTGGTTAATCCACA